TCACCACTGTGGCACCCACTTGACCTGTGTGTGGATTTCAGAGTGTGTCTTATTCTGCAAAAATGTTTGCTTCAGATATATTGGATACTTACAGTGTCACTTTAATAAGGAACTGTCTAATTAATCCATTGCTGGCAGTACTATACAGCTAAACATATGTTTTAGTAATATCCATTAGATGCTTCTTTTTGGGTGGAGGTTAATACTGAGATAAATTTGGTACTGGAACTGTCTTTCATATTCACAGATGCACATTCTCTTTTAACTTAACTGCTTTATGGACATTAAGAATGGAAATTACTCCCATAGTTGTTAAAATTGTGTTGCTGAGTATTGCACCAGAAAATCTGCCAAAGAATATGGTAATCAATGTATGATGTACGATGTGCCAAAATCATAATTGTTTCATATGGAAAGCAGAGGGTAATCTAAGCACTGAGGCCTGGAAAAATAGATTAGCAGACTATGCAGTAATGATAAAACCAAATAGTTATGTAAATAGGAAACCTATTTACCTGTCAAAGAATTCAATTATACGTGGAAACTTTACTATGCACAACTTACTTTATAGAAAATTCTCCATATGAATGGAGTGGAATTTTTGAAAATATTATCAAAGATTAACATTTAAACTATTGCTTTGCAATTATAGTAAGGAGAGTTATACAAATGGAATATAATTCTTGAAAATACTGTTAAAGATTAACTCTTGTACTGATGCTTTGTTGTTACAGTAAGTTGATTTAAGTTGAATAGAGCTAGTTAAGTACATGATAATTGTGGCTACAGTCAAAACTGCTTTAAAATTAAAAGCAGAAGAAAGTTAAGCATTGAAGACTAGAAAAATAAGTCACTTGACTATGTAGTAATGGTAAGACTAACCAATCATGCAAAAAGATCATCAGTCAAAGAAAATTATATGTGGAAATTGTATTACACACAACTACTTTTTAATGGGGATAATAACAATGGAAGAATATAGGTGAAGAGGGGATAGAATTTTTGAGAAAATTGTTGAGATTAGAAGAATCTGCAATTAACTAAGTGCAAAAAATGTGAGTAGAAAGGATAGTAATTGATACAGCAATTTTAAAATAAAATTGCTTATAGCACATTTGGCTTTGATTATGCCTTATCATGCTTCTTGTATGCTATGCACATCATCTGTTATTTTTCCATTGTATCTATGCATGCATTAATCCTAAGTCAAAGTAATTGATATATTTGTTATATTTCTTTGATGGTTTTTGAAAAACATGTTCACTAAGTGACATTCAAAAATAAATTTAAAGCAAAATTAATGAACTAATTAAATTAATAAAGGAGTGCAGAATTAACCAGATCCAAATCTGAGATGAAAAGGTAAAACAAAGGCCAACCCTAGTAAAATCAACTGATCACATACATGAGCTAAAACCAAGAAAGAACTAACTCACTAGCCATTATCAAGAGTTTGAAAATAAAATGCAGTCAGTGTGTTGTTCAAAAGACCTGGGAGAATAAAATCATCTTATCTTGGTGCAGAAAAAGTATAGAAGTGGCTTCCACATAAGGCTGTCTTGGAAAGCATTCTGCAATTACAAAGACCCCTGGAAAAGATGTCTAAGAAAATGTAGAAGGACTTTTCCACCCATCTTTCTTTTGGCAGGAGTGTAGTTGTGCACTTGTGTGACACTAGAGCAATATGACTGAGACAGCTTTCAAATTACCACATTAACATCTAGATTGCCAGGGTAATTAGCAACAATATTCTTTTAGCGCCCTGCAATGCGAGTTCTACAATCAAGTGACTCATCACAAATTTGCTCTGTGGGTAGTTGCCAACCTGGCATAAGCAAACAGTAGGGAAAGCACACATATGCACAACCACTTCCCATAAAGCCATGAGCAACCTGGGTGTATTGTTTTCTGTCAGTAAGAGGGGAGAAGGTTGGATGGCCAAATGAGTCACAAAGGAAGCACCTACAGGGCCATGAGGCAGAACAAATTACTGAGGCCGGGTCTCGCACTTGCCACTGTAATGAGGTAGTTGTTCTGCCTGGATCATGTAGATTCTGGTGAAATGTGCAGTAAATTAACATGGCTGTACAATAATCAATTGCAAGAAGACCTTAAAACTGCACTTACCAGTGGTTGGTATATAATACTATCCCTGCACCAACAGAATTTGTACCCTCTGCTCCTTTACACCTGCCCTTTTCATTTGTTCTAGAGCAGTGATGGCGAACCATTTAGAGACCGAGCGCCCAAAGTGCAACCCAAAACCCACTTATTTATCGCAAAGTGCAACACTGCAATAAAACCTGAAACCTGAGGTTTTCGTTTAGAAAAAACATCTCACAGCCAGTCCAAGCAAATGTATATATCCTTGGCAGCGCACTGACCGGCCATGGGAAAGCTCGGACAAGTTGCAGCTAAGGAGTCACGGCCCATGACATCATTGCTTGGTGCCGCTACTCCTTTCCGAGCATGTCCATGGCCCCTGTGTGCACTGTTATCTGATGCCCGGCTGCTGGGGCGATGCAGGGGCAATTTGGCTTGCATGCCAACAGAGGGCAATATGTGCCTGGTGCACTCCCCTAACCCTAACATAGGGGTAAAATACCACTGAAAATAGGCTGCTTTTGAACAAAGCCTTGACTAGCCTTTTCTGTACAGCTCATCATTTCTGCCCATTCTAAACACATTCCAACCATCAAAATCATGCCAGGACACGTATCCGATGCTCTGCTGCTGGGGTGAGGCTGGGGCAACTTGACTCGCATGCCGACAGAGGGCTGTGTGTGCCCATTGTGGCTCGCATGCCATAGGTTCCCCACCACTGTTCTAGAGGGTTGGGGTGCCCTCTGGAGCAGATCTGCTGGGCACATGAGGGATGTTAGGGGTTAGTCCCATTGTGTGTGTGCCAGCTCATTTGCACAAAGCTGGGTGTAACTTGCACTTTATATCGTAGCTCTTTTGTGTGGCACATAACACTGAAGCAGATGTAAGTTTTGCAGCCTGTTGCTGGTTCCTTTTCCTCAAGTCTGCACACAGGCAGTGATTCAGATTGTTCAGAGGAAAAGGCTTAGTGAGCCACCCACAGTCTGAAGACCTGAAGTGCTCCTTTTGCCAGAGTTGATGCAATCAATTTGTGCATATGATTGAAATAATGTATAGCAAAAGCAGGATGACATCAAATATTTATATAGGCAGAGGAAATTAATTTTTTACCATTTCCACTCTTCTCTCAGCCCTGCATTCTGTATTCATCAGGATGTGTTAAGCCTTTGTTAATGACCACTATATACACATTGAACATTTGCAGAGTAATTGTACATCCGTCTCTCATTATTGATGATGTGGTTCCCACACGTCACTGGGAGAAGTGCACTGAACTAAGTGCTATTTTTCATCCATTATTTTCTCACTGTTCTCCTGTAGCTTGGTAAGGTAACAGCTAAGTATTCACAATATGAAGCTGTGAACCTATTCTTCCAGGTCTGGCTTGGGTGCCAAGAAAGGCGCCAAGAAGCTAATATTATCAAGATTTACATCTTTCACTTGGCAGAATAAGACACTTTTAGGAACTGGGAAAGGCCTGTCCCAGACAACTGCCAAACCTATTGTGCACGGTTGCTGTCCAGCTGTTACTGGAGAAGGGAAAGGATGGCAGCAAGTGAGGAAGAGAAAGCCATGAAGAAAAGGAAGAGTATCCAAAAGCAAGTGAACAGTAGCATAATTTTCTCCCTTTTATTTAACTTATTTCTATGCCACCCTTCAATTCACAATTTCCAAGGCAGTTCACAAGTTATTAAAATACAATAAAACAGTAAGCAGAACTAAAAGAAAGAAAAAACCAGAACTCTGTCCCCAACTCCCTGGGGAAGAGAGGGGAAGGCAGGGGAAACACAGGCTTGTTGCAAATGCCAGGCTAAAAGAAGGAAGAAAAGTACTGCAGAGAAAGTGGTACAGAGAACATCAATGAATGAATGTGGGGGAAGACAAAGACAGAAGAAATTTATAGAAAGCGCACTTGCAGACAGACAACTCCTAGCACTGGCAGTCAAAAGGCATCCTGCAGCTACTGCATCTTTCCTCCTTAACGTAATTCCTGTGGAAAGAAAAAAAAGCAGAAATAATGGGAAAACACAGGACGGTTGTAAACTGAAGACAGTGGTGGGTACTTCCAGAAAAAGCTTTTAGTGTTCCTCATGCACATAATTCTACTGGGGGCCCAGGAGACAATATCGTCCAATGCTGTAGTTTCCCGCAGGTTTTCATCTTTCCTGCTTACTGCAGAAATCCATTAAAGCGAAAAAGATGGCTAGTGTTGGGAGTCTCCCACGTGTGAAGCACCCGACCTCCGGGACCCGGGAACTCCCCCTAAAATTCCTTCAACGAAGCAGTGTGATTGCGTAATAATAGCCTTGTCTGGAAGCAACTCAAGAGGCGAGAGGGAAATGGTGCAAAGGATGAAATGCAAAAACGGACGGGAGGGGGAGAGATGGAAAGGGGTGAAGGAAATAATCCGAGGTTGGGGGAAGGAATGGCAAGTGCAGGGCAGGGAGGGGGTTAAAGAAGGAAGGAAAAGGAACCGGGAAATGAAGGCGGAGAGCGCGAAAGGAAGCGAGGGAAAGGACCCGGGAAAGAAGGGAAAGGCACGCGGGTCTCAGGAGAGAATGGGAGGGAAGCCGCCTGGCTGAGGGCGGGGCACCGGCGGCTGGGAGAGGCGAGGCATCAGAACGGGGCCGGCGGGAGCCCGCGCCCCGAAGGAAGGGGCCCCTGCTCGGCGGCCTGCGCCATCGCCGGCCGCGCGCGTCGGGCGCCCGCGTCGCGGGCGGCCCCCTTCTGGCAGGGACGCGGCGCTGCAGGGAAGGCGAAAGGAGCCGCTCGGGCAGCGAGGAGGAGAGCGCCGGCCGCCGCCGCCCCGCCTCCAGCCCGCCCTCCCTCCGCCCGCCCGCCTCGCACGATGTTCGCCCAGCAACAGCAGCGGGAGCCGCCGCGCCGGGGCTGAGTCGCCTGCCGCCTCGCGAGGCAGGCGCTAGGTCACCGCTTCCCGCGTCCCTTCGCTTCCTTCCTTCTCCCCTCCCGGCGAGGAGGGGCCGAGGCAGCCGGGCTGGTCGTCGGCCCCCCGAGCTCCGGAGCGCTGTGCATGTTCGCTCCCTGCGATTGCGTGAGGCGAGGAGGCAGGAGGACCATGAAAATGATCCGATTCCGGAGCTCGAGCATCAGGTCTTTGAGCCAGGAGATGAAATGCACCATCCGGCTGCTGGACGACTCCGAGATCTCCTGCCACATCCAGGTGCCTCCCTCCGGCTGGGAAGCCATCGGCTCCTCTAGGCGGGGGCCTTTGAACACTCACTTCCCCCTTACCCTTTCTCCCCCTACCCCTGGCAAAAGGGTTTTGCCGTGTGCTTCCCGTTATGCGCGCCCTACGCGTGCGTCGACACCCCGGTTGTGTGTCCGTGACCCCCTTTTCCTGCCCCGTTGTGCCTTGTTGCCCATTGCTCTCCAACACGTACACACGCGCACGCACACCCGCAGGCATCCATACGAGCACGCTCATCGCAGTGGCAAGTTATTTGCAAGCACAGGAAGAAACGGGGCAAGGTGTGTGAGGGGGTCGCGGGAGGGAGAGCCGGTGCAGAGTTGTAGTGTTGTGCTATTGCTGGGCTGCGCTGAATCCCTGGAAAGTTCACATCGAAGAAAGAAGGGCCCTTCCAGATGGCTGGCTGATAGCTAACCGGTGCAGAGTCCCTGTGCATTATTTGTGTGGAATCCAGGTGTCTTCCTTCGAGGAAACCCCGGAGCACAAATTGCAGGACATTGTTGCTGCTGTCAAAAGAGGCTCGTTTGTTTAGGTCAGCCACAGTAATTCAGGGCAATGCTCGGATATGGTTGTGCGAATGGCAAGGTCCTGGTTGGATAGCGCCTGCAATAAAGCTGATGACAAGAGGCACAACTTTCCAGCATCATTCATTAATTGTGTTTTATTTTTTAATATAATGCATTGCCACCTCCTGAATAGAACTGTTGAACCATCTTGCTTGGGAATGGATATTGTGACTCAGGGTGGAGATGGTACCATTCTGTTCCTTAACTGTACCCTTCGTGTGCAGGAGCGCCTGTCTAGTCCTTTGAAAGAACAGGAAATAAAAGTAAACACCATAAGGGTAGACTGAACTATTCTGATCGTGACAGTCATGTCAAGCTAACTGAAAACAGGCTACAAGGTGTACTGTCAGCAGTGGTAGGCTCTTTGCTGCTTTGCTTTTCATCTGTTCTCCAGGACAAAGTATGGTATTACTAGGTAAGGAGGAGGAATTCAAGAGTGGACAGAGCTAGTTGAAGTGGAAGGGGCTATGCAGTGGCTTTCCCACCTCCCTTTTATTAGTATTTGCACTTTAGGGCTAACATACACCATGCAGCCTCTGAATCGGGAATTAGAGCAGTCTCTGGCTGCATCACTCTACTACGCACAGTAATGGCAAAATATTTGTGCTATTTGTGTAGTTTAAACTAAATAATGGGAACTGTCAGCTAATGAAATAATTATACTTGTTTTATGATTTGCCTCTGAACAGCTCTAATGCATAAACATGCCGAAATTTTACACATTACTCTAACCTTAAAATAGGCTTCTTTTTGAGATACCAAAAAGTGTATAATAACTTATGAGTTAACAAAACAAAAGCCAATGCTAGTAGTTAAGAGGAAATAAGTGTGCCATTCATTTTTTCTAACGGTAACACATGATAACTAAAATAGCATGAACAATATATAAATAGCCCAATCATTTAAAACGTATTCTCACCTGTTAATAAACAACAGCTTTGGTTGATTCACTTGCCAGTTAAACAGAGGAAAGCTTTCAGATCTAGTATTAATGTATATTGGATGTAACCTCTGTTGAAAGTGGTTGACAGAATTCATTATTTTTAAATGCCTGACTGTCAATCATGTATAAACAAAGAATAAAATAAAGAATCTATCAACATCTTCTTCCCTCTATTCTGACTGCAAAGAATTTGATCTTGCATGTTGTACTCTTAGCATTTCTCAATGATTTATATTTTGAGGGTTTTGTAGTGGCTTCATGAGATACCAGAATGACTAGATCTGTTCACTATGAAGACTGCTATCCATTTCCTTGAGGGGAAAAAGGTTGGTGCTCCAGTGAACCAAGATACACCATACATAATTGTTTGACTAAGTATGTACTCTTTTTTAACATGCTGCTAACAGTACAAATTGCTTTAACTTTGATCAGAAAACACTTGTTTGATATAAGTGTATTACAGAAATGTTGATCTGAAAGATTTCCAAATGAACTGTACCTGGGAAGAAAGAGGCAGTCTTCTTAAAATATTCCCTGTTAAAGAAAATGATGATAGGTACTTTGGTACTTAAGGTACTTTGGCAGAGTTGGATAGTTAAAGCAGTGTTGACAAGCCTCACCTCTGGAAAAATAATTTGAAAGAAACAGTTGTTTTCTTTATTGATGCAGAAGGCATAAACCACTAAGTGAAGCAATATTTTTAAATCAACTAAATTTTGTTATCATAAGTATATACAAATGTCCAAGATGGGCATTTTAATGATAGGCAATGGAAAGGATTAGACAGCAACTCAGTTTCCTTATGACAGGTTACAAAACTAAAAGCATGTGGGGGTCTTTTAGCATATCAAACAACAGACATTGTTTGTTGTTGTTTCTACTGAAGAAGTTGTCACCAAAACACCTGGCTTGGCCCTTTCTTAGGTACACGGAGATGAGGGGAATGACTGAAGGGAAGGAATATTGCTACATTTCCTCTCCATTGCTTTGTATTCAATGGCATGAGGTCAGGCAGGTGCTGTTCACTCACTGGGCAGTGCAGGCCAGTAGAAAGGGTAGGTTGGTTCAGCTGAAGATTCCCTGGGTAGGTGGGCTGAGCAGAAGTCAGTGAACCCACTCAGCTCCATTCTCAGCCTGGCCAGGTCAGTAGCCACTTCTGTGGGTGGGTGCCCTTTGCACAGACCAAACACTAATTGCTCAGATTGTCAGGAGTTTTGTTGTTCAGGAAGGATCGGCCTTGGCTATTTGATATGTAGGTTGGAGAAAGGGGCCATTGCCTTGGGAAGATAGAGCAGGCCAAGCATTGCACTCATAAGGTACAGTGGCAAATATTGCTTTGTGGGGTCAGTTGGGTCAAATTTTGGTTGGCTTTCGTATCTGGTGTGCCACCCTACTATGCCGGCTATACATAGTGAGTAATGTCTGGATCATGCTCATATTGTTGCATAGTCTAATAAAGGAGACACCAGTCAGCTTTACGTAGGTTTAAATCAGTTTAAAGCACAGTCCTGTGCATGTGTAGACAGAAAAAGTCCTATAATTCTTAGCATTTCCCATCTGACTTTTTGAAGGTCGTTTTTCCAGTCTAAACATACATAGGATTACTCCTTCTCACTGTTCCTTCAGTCAGAACAGTTTAAATTCAAGTGTGTTATTTTTTTGTATCCTGTGTTCAAGGGTATTTCGTATGTTACTTTTTCCTGCGTGAATCAGATGCATTCAGGATTTATCCCTGTGACTATACCTATTAAAAATGCACATAACATTTCCAAAGATATAAGCATGATAAGGGAATGTGTGTGATCTATCAGTCCATCCATCATGTTATTTATGTTTGAGCACAATAGCAGCACATCAGAATTTGGCTTTTGCTTTTTACAAAGTCTTCCAATTCACTCAGCCTCTCAGGACTGGATAAATACAGTCCAAACTTAATTAATTTTTTGTGTGCAGCTGTTGCTATTAAAGCCAAAGGGTTATTTAAACATCTTAGAGTGCAGCCTAATGTCCTTTGTTTCAGATGCATGCTAACATCTGAACTCAATGCATGGCGTGAGAAGCAACAGTAGTAATTTCTGCTGTTGCTGATGACAATTTTCAGTTGTCTAGTTAAAGCATCAAGGAGGGGATGAAAGGAAGCTGGGGTGCAAACAAGTATTGCCCATAAGCCATTGACCCCATTCTGCTCTTCTCCCTTCCACCCCCCCCCCCCCACGATGCCCCTTTTTTGCCCCGCTGAGGCCCAGTTGCATCCTTGGAGAGGCTGCCATTGTGCCTTTTTCTGTACTGGCTGTGATGAAGATGGGGCAAGATTCTGGCCTTTGGAGTTCCAGCTCCGAGGTGACCAGACCTGAAACCTGTGGCTCTGAATAATTCTGTGGCCATTAGGCAGTGTCAGAAGGGCATAGCATAGCTCCCTAAGTTGATTGGGCCTTGCTATTATTGACCTTAGTGAAATCATTTTAGGATAATTTCAGGCATTTTCTGTACAAAGAAAGAAAAGACCTGTACTTTAGGAGTCTCATGTACTCATAACTCCAGCTGCTTCTGTTCCATTTGGGTTGAGTTCTGTTCCTCTAGTGCTGTGTAGCATCTTGGATTAGCATGTGTTCCCTAACAGACTGCCAAGAGAACAATTCCATATGAATATGGAATTTGCCTCAGATTTTGTGGAATGCCAAGCAATAGAGGGGTATCGTCTGGGACAATGTATGTATATCATTGTCAGTGTATTCATAATAGAATGTTGTCGTGATTCTCTCATGGCTTAAAGGAGTGAGTGTGCATGACTGTCTTTCATAATGCCATTTGATAAAGGGAAAAAATAGATTCTGAGGATGCTGGAAATGCTGAAAATTGTAGGACATTTTTCAGTCTAACCATGCACAGGAGTGGACACTAAATTTAGGATTCAAAACCAGGTTTTCATCAGTGTACATTGGCACTGCGTATTAGACTGGTGGCAAATTCATGTTGATTTGCATAAACAGAGAATCTAGGATTTAATGTCCTAGAAACTACAGAGAGGCAGATTTACTGGAAAGCAGACATGAAATGACTAGCTTTCTAGCGAAGGCCAACTCTAGATTATTCCTGTGCATATGCTGCTTAGATTTGTATGATGTAAAATATAGGAAAATATACTTTCACAGTCACAAGCCCAAAACCAAAAGCAACAGCTGGAGACATTATATTATAATATTATTAATAATAATATTAGTTATAATATAATAGTATTATAACTACATAGCCTTCTTGTGTTGAAATACCTTGAACTACCCTGGCTGCTTTCAGGTGTCCTTAGAAGTATCAGTAGTAGTCCAGCCAGGGGACACTTGCCAGCAGGTTCAGCAAACAGATTTCTTCAACATTTTGACTTGCCACTTCCAGCCAGAAGCACTAGAAAGGGACCCCTTCCAAATCATCCGTGTGCTGCATTCCACAATTTAAGTGTTTTATACTAA